CTGTCGAGGTTTTGGGGGGGCCATGGTCCCCGTGCCCCCTCCCCCCAGGATCCTCCATGTCCGTGTTCCCACTTCACATCCCTGTGTTCGCGAGTGGAAGCGACATCTACGACGTTTGAGAAAAAGAATATGAATGCTGTCAAGGCTGGCAGGAATTTGGACGGGCTACAGGCGGAAGCTCCGTAAAAAAGCAAGATGACGATAGGTCGACCAAAACTATCTCGGCTTTCAGAGGATATCCACCGTTGTTGGTAGGAATGACCTTCGTGATCATCTCACCTCGCAGCTAGCGGCTGTTACTATATCCTCAAAAAAACTGGATTATGCTTTGATAGAAATCATAAAAATAGATAAAACCCACTGCCTTCCCCGTGTGTTTGCGGCACGTGAGTGGTGGGATTGCGCATATCAGACGCATACGGCGTCATTGGCAATTGCATGTTGTCTCAGTCGAGCCGTCCGTCCGTCCCGTTCAGCTGCAGCCCCCGCTGGTGTATGTCCGAGTGACACGTCTGACTATCCGCCGCGCGGAGGATCGCTATAGCAAACTTACCACTTCAGTGCAGGTTGGTCGGCGGCTCGTCAGAAAACTACGAAGCATTTTGGGCTGACGAACATGGGGAACGTCGCACTGACTCTGCCGTTTTGGGCGATTCCGACCAGTGTTGCAAGATATCATGAGCCTATTTGTGGAAATTGATTACTGTAAACTAGGTTTTTCGTCGGTGTCAATGCCATGAACTCAGCTTGTTTGGTTTTGGCCCCAGCGTGCTGCATTTGACTTTTTGTCAAAAACGCAACATCGGTCGCTTTCCCGTCGGTCGTCGCAGCATCGCCTTGTGTCTGACGGTGTTAGCTGACTGGGTATTTTGTTGAAGGTAAAGGCACCTAAATATTGCAGACTGCACGAGATTTGATACCAATCTAAGAGAAAACACTCCGAACCGGTTTTTTTTTTTGCGCAAGAGCGCACACGCACGTCTGCACGCGAGTCATCTCATCCTCTTGACTCTTCGGCCCCTAAATCTGTTGATTCTGTTTCGCTTCGGTCACTCCTTGCCGAGCTATGAACCGGACCTCGGCAAGTGTTTCTACGATTTTTGGCAATCTATGCATTTTGTGTTTCCGTCGTTGAACCAATGGAGCACGTCTGCGCACCGGCGGCACCAGGTCCGAAAGTTGGTACGGTGGTGCGCCTCCCCGCTGGTGTTTGCACACCAGATCCCGCGTGGCCAACTGCCAACAGCGCTGAGACGTCATCCATACCGTATACGTCATCACATCATGACATCACACTGAATTTCATACAATGGGCTGTGAAACACATCGTCAGCAGCGGCATCTCTTTTCATCGTAACATGCACGGCGCCAACGATGTTTTTTTTCTCTCCCAGTTTAAGATCGCTCGCCACCGTAAATGATACGAGAGTATCTAGGCAGAAAAGGTGCAACGACGATACTGGATTAAGTACATTGAAGCAAAGCACAAATTCATCAAGAAGCAATCTTAAGGAGCTTATTTTGGCTCTGTGCACGTCTAAAATTTTAAAAAAATTAAACGGCTGTAAGTAAAGTCACAAATTAAGACGAATCATTGAAAATTTAAAAAACTGGGGCGGAGTTTTATGTTTGTAATACTAGCCACTGGGCGTGTAAAAACAAGAGATTTAAAAACGCACTTACATGTGAGATAACACCACGTTCTTTTCTTTTCCCCGGTCGTTTAAACGCAAGCCGCAATGTATTTCGGGGCGTGCGATCACGCTACGGAGCTTTAATCTTTACAGTGGTGGGTTAATCCTTCCCGCAGTCGTGTGCGGCCAGCGTGACGCCGTTCGCTGGCGCTCGCACGCCGACGGCGAACACGTCTGTCGCGGCCTGTGCAGCAGCGTTTTTAGATTATTCCCGATAGCGTCGTCAGCGTCCCCGCCGCGGCCTGCAAATAACGTCCGCGGCGCGACTGATTTTAAACGGTCGTGATGAGCCCGACGCGGGTGCGTGGTTTATCAAATCAGCTGGTTGGAAGGACCATGGTGCTGGGCGAGGCGAAAGGCTCGGATATAGACCTTCCAACAGGAGCTGAGTCTGAGCTGAATCCATACGTGCTGAATATAGGCGTGGAGGAGATGAGCAGGCTCCGCCATCTGAATGCAAGGTTAAATCCTCCTCCCCATCGCCGGTGAGGCAAAGCGATCGAGAGAACGGAAAATATTCTCCGCGGCAACCGCAAAGACGAAGCTCACCGGCTCCTATTTGAGGTCATCAGTGAATGAAATACACGTTGAACTGTTGCTTGTCATACCACACCATTAGCGGCTGCCGGATCACCCAGGGTATAGCCTAGGTTCAGTCGTGGCTAGGGGAATTAGAACCCAAGTATGCACCGAAGCCAATTCTATTTTGATCTTGTCGGCGCGAAATATTTATTGCTGGCAGCCGGTAAACTGCCTGCCAACTTTATGGATCCGTTTTCATAAAGTGACAACAGGGTCTTGACTCTTGATAGAGCGGGTGGATTTCATAGTCCCCTGCAATCCTACCGGAAATAGC